AAAAAAAAAATCAATGGTACAAGCACAGACACACGCGCACAGGCAGGCGACACAGACGGCGATAGAGGAAAGCCCAGACGTGGTCCGTCTCAGCTGTCAATCTGCAGATTAAAATGTTGAGGTTGACAGGGGTCAAGTCTGACATCCTGAATAAACCACTCTCCTGCCAGACATGGAGGGAATGTAATTCTGACTGATCTTCATTCTCAAAAAATCCATCTTCATCCAAAGTTGATTTTTTTTTTGTCAGTATTTACTCTCATTTTTCTGTCTTTTTTATACAAGCTAGAACTTTATACAAGCTTTTATAGGATGTTTTTCTGTTGTTTTTTTTTATTAATCCTGTGTGACTTGATTGCTGGTTATCTGACTTTATATGTGCTGTGTCTTGCAAAGTTACAACATTAACTCACATATGTCTTTTAAATGCACATTTATACATCCAAACTATTCTAAAGCAGGGACATGTTGTCATTAGCATACCAAACTAATCGTTCAATGAAAAACAGAGTCAGCATCTTTCTGTACTGTAATATTCAACACAAGCCGTCTTTGTCAGGCAGACTCCTTTATTTCTTCTCTTCCCCAAAGGGGGGGGAGGGGGTACGTCTGCTACGTCTGCAGCCCATAAACCACCGGCTGGATTCCCCTGTGTCCTCCCTGGCAGCTACATTGATTCTCTCTCTCTCCATTCCTGCTGAAAGATGCATGAGTGTACTCAGGGAAGAGGAGTCATTTAAACACCCACCAGTAGGAGGCAGGCTTTAGCCACATCTGCTGCTTTTGATGCTGTTTTTGAGTACAGTCCTTGTAAAAATTTACAGTTAAGAGAAAAAAAACTAAGCAACACTACAATATACGAGCTGATGGAGGCACATGTGTGTCTGTGTTGAAAAAAAAAGATCTTTGAGACTAAATACGACTCCCTGATTAAAGGCATAACTTAGGCTGCTTACACCAAACTAAGATGGTCAAAATGGGAAACATTATTCCTGCTTAGCATCAACATGTTAGCATCATCACTGCCTCCATTAGCATTTTGCTCAGAGCACCACTGTACAGCCTCACAGATCTTAGTTTTGTTTATTAACATCACACTTTACAAATGTTTCACTCTGACGATTCAAATAACATGAGCTTCCTCTATGTTCAACTTACTTATAAACTGATGACATTTGGGAGTGATCTTTTTTACCTCTGTATGGTCAAAGGTCAGGGTCACCTAGAGAACAAAGACCCTGGAGCTTCTATGGAGTCAATGTCTCAAGGAAACTTGAGAAAGGAGAATGCTGAAAGGGCTGTCTGCCAAAATGCTAAGCTCAAGACAACAATAACATCATCCTCACTTTGGTCCTGATTTTAATAAGGTAAAACTAGTGTTCAAAACAAGATGGTTTGTGTCTTATGTAGATAGCATGATAAGCAAAGAATTAATGTGGCATGATATTGTGTGGTGTTTGAATGTCTTTTCCTTCCATTGACACAGTCAGACAGTGTCCCTGCTACAAAGCTGAAGGAGAGCCTAATTGGGCACAGAGAAGAAAGAAAAGCCTTCCTCTTTTTTAACACCAAAGAATGGCAGAGCACTCCAGGGCCAGCATGATTGAATAGCCTCCAGAGGGAATAGAGAGGAGGGAGAGAGAGGAGGGGGGGGGTAGAAAGTTTACATGTGAGGAGGGGCGGTCATGCTCAGCCGCTCATTAACAAGCTGTCTGATTAAACCCCTCACTAATGACTGTGTCTCGGTAATCAATAGTATCTGCTCTTTAAAAAGGTCTGTACACATTAAATGGCACGTTCTCCTAGGAGCTGCACAGGGGTTATCATGGTATATGGTAATTGAGGATTATGGTGCGTTTCCCTGCACACATGTAGGCAGCTGTGAGCTTCAAGGTAATGGATGGAGTCAGGGTTGATGGGCTGCAGCACCCTATTCACACAGCTGAGGTGTGTTTGCTTGTCGGCGCCAAGGAGAAAAGGAAAGGAAGCAGTGCAAGTAGCGTCTACAAACTAGCAATTATAGGTTGAAACTGACAGATGGACACGGAGTTATGGTGAAACGTTGTATCTGCAAAGCTGTATAGAGAAGGTGAGCACAAAAAACAGTCGAGATATAGAAAAACAGATCCTTCCGATATTTAAATACCTTTACCTTACATTTAATTTTCTTAACAGAAACACATTCTGCTGACCTGGCCATAAACTAATAGCATGCTTTGGTTATCACATCTTTATAGCCTCTCTTTGAAGTGCTGTTCAAACACATCCTCTCGTGTTATTGACAGGTCTGCTGTGGAGAAACAGGTGTTCTCTGTGACTTGAAAGGTAGCATTATTTTCTAAATGGGCAGTAAAAATATGTTGTCTGTCAACCAGTCAAAATGTAGCTGTAACTCTGTTTTAAACAAACTGTCGCTGGCAGCATTGATTACCAGTTTTCAGAGTGTTGGGTCAATACAATTACCAGAGCCTTAATGGGTTTCAACTAGTGAGCAATTAGCCACCAAAGCTGTGATACACCTCTGTGTTTAATGTAGAAGATAACGCTGCAAGATCAGATCCTGTCAGTCTGTTTGAAGAACGATTTCAGGAAACCATTTTAGCTCTAATCCTTAAGATATTCCCAATGATATGGTATTGGAAAATTGATTTTAAATGTACAGCATGTACACTTCATGGATTCATGAATAATGCATTCCTTAGACAATATAATTCAGACAGTGTGCACTGAACATACACTGAAGCTGTTGTTCTCTTTGTATGGATTCATGGCTGTATAGAGATAGAGATAGTGAAGTGAAACGTTCATCTTATATTCAAAACCCTCTCCACATATGTGGACTTGAACTCCCCAGTGGGCTGCCATTTGAACTGCACACCACGGTCATATCTTTCTCAAAATCATCCTGAAAGAGACGTGTTTGTTTTTCCTTCGGGTTTGAACTCTTTGCTGAAGGTCTATGTGCTGAATAAAATCATTGTCAGCCTAGTCTTATCCTGACCATTGGTTGCCAAGCAACCCTGCCTCCCAGAAGGCCATTCCTCGAGCCTTTGTACAGACGCATATGGATGGTGCACGACTCCAGGAGGCTGAAAGGCACCTACGTCTCCATCCCAAATGATTGCAAATCGGTCGTTCTGACACGCTGCACTTGTTGCTGACTCAGCTGTTGATTAATAACCTGAAAGCCTTCACACCTCACATCTTATTATGTGCTGTAGCATTTATGACTCATCTTTATTGGGTGAGCCATTAAATTTGGCTCATAATTTACACTTTATGGTATCAAAGTATCAAGTTGTAATTCCACCGATCAGCTTTACTTTATAAAACCCACATATGAGAAATATTATCATCATACTAGTGGAGGAAAAATACATTTATACACTCATTTATTTTGCCTGACATGTTTTGTTGTGAGACATCGTTGCTGCCTGGATTATGTTCAGGGTATATTTATTATTTACATGGATTTACATATATTTTGCACACAGGGTGGATGGTGGACATACAAAATGCAGGACTTTGACACAGGAGAATGTGGTTCACATCCTGAGTCTTGTGTGTGGTTAGGTTTAGACAACAGAAGGATTTTGTTTAGTGAAGGATTGTGTTTTTTTTTTCTTTTTGTAAATTTCAATGAAAAAAACACTTCCTGTCTTATGCTTCAAGTCTGGACTTGACGAAGACCACCATATTTCCCTAAGCCTTATTTTAAGGTAATGAAAACACAACAATTCCTACATTCAGATGATTATACACTAATGAAAACCTATGGATATTATATTTTACACACTGGACCTTTAAATATGTTGTCAGTGAACATTTTGCAGATACACCCAGAATTGAGATTTTGTGACTTGGGAGTTATGTTCATTAACCTTTCCTTATTATGTTGATAAAAATGTAATCTGGGCAGCATTAATTGCCTGTCAAAACATTGCTGTTGCAAATTAGTAGCATATAAACATACTTTTTATGCAAGGGCATCAGTTACACAGAATATAAAAGGTTACACTTTTTTAACAACATTATTTTCAGGGGCTCAAAGGAACATTTTATCTGTGTTTATTTGCCATTTTGATACCCTTTTATATCTAAATGTCTGCAGTTTTTCTCCTGTAATTTAATGCACGAGGACTGCAAATGCAGTGATGCAGTGATCACAACTAAAAATGCATTCACTTTACTGGACTGTTAATATGCAGCGTCACCAAAGCATAAATATATTCTGTTTAGTCAGATATTGCACTATTTGTGTATACGTAGAATTATGTCTTTGTCTTCTCTTCAGTCATCGTTCACAGTTCACATCCCTCTGTCTCTCATCCCTCTATCTCATTAGTGTAATAACCAATTAACTCCGGCTCTTGGTTGCTTACATTTTTTTATTTATTTCCTCATTAATTCATTTCCTGTTGAAAGCGCACTCCACTGTGATTGGCAGCTCACGCTAATTGCAACTCAGACTGTGCGTGCAAGATACAGTCACAAACACACACATTCAAACTCATGAGCACACACGCACACTCAACAATTGCGTGCATGCAAGGTCATACATATTTTTGTGTACACACTTGTACGCAAACTGAACACACATTGAGTAAAGCTTGCTAGCTGTGCACACACATTAAGGGGAAAAAAAACATCTACTATAGCACACAAATACACACAGAGAGGGATCAGTGTGATAGTTTTAATTAGATTTGGCCTCCAACTCAGAGCGGGAAAGAAGGCAGATTACTGCTGCCCTCTTTAATGGCCTTCCAACACTTTATCTGAGATTATAGTGGAGGAAGATGGCTTCAGGGTCACTAGTGCTATTGAGGAAAGGAGATGTGTGAAATGGGGCTTTTTAAATACCTAAAATACCAAAATACCAAAGAGAAAATATATAATATATATATAAAGAGAATATCAAAACTTTTGGTACAAATGGAGCAGTGTTAATTTTGCGTCCTTTCATGTGATATTTTGTGACAAAATGGCTAATCACATATGAAAATGTGTTTCTATATTTGACATATATTTACAGAAGTATCCTCATTATTAAAAGCCAACTAACTGTTTTTGTTGTCCATACCCGCTAGTCAGTAGATTTTAACACTTTGGACACTTTTGGACAACAGCCGTCCTGGAGCCGTATGAGCTGTATGAATAAACAGCTTCCTAATCAGCTAAACAAACTTTTCTGTTTACATGACTGATTACTGGATGATTACAGCCACGATTCAGTGTCACGACTGGTTTTCAAGAGATTGGACAGAATCCATGACACACACACACACGCGCAAATCAAACACGCATGCAAACACTCACAAAGTGAAACACACAGCCTCAGACAGAACATGTCAGAGCCTTCTCCTCGTAATATCCGGACTGATCCCCGTGAGTACACACAGCTCATGGTTTATTCTTACCCTCGCTGATCCATAATTCATCCCCTAATAGCATTTTACAAGCATAATTGAGTGAGCTGTGTTGAACCTTTCAGCCTATAGATATGGACTAAGATGAAATACCACTTTTAATATACCACCAGTGTGCATTGTTTTAGCTCCTTAGCTACAAATTATGTATACATTACATTTTTGCCAGCCATTTTCAAGGTCACACTATAGAGTTTTATATTTCTTATGCATTTTTTTGTACTGCACCATTTATTTTCTCACAACAATAATGTAATTTGGCCAAAAAAATACAGTCTTGATGTTGATTGTGATGGAAAAACACTGATTGTGAACTTTTTAGATTCGATTTTACTGTTTTACCCAGAAAAATTAAATGAAAAAGGATTTATGCACCAGCATAATATATCTGTCTCCATCTAATGTAGTGGAAGTTTTGTTGGTGGCAAGAAATTTGTAGGTGAGTATGAGTTTAGTAGGTGTAGGTGGTTTTGCTGAGGAAGTTCGGATTTATGATACTCTCAGTATGTCTAAAATCCTAGCCATGGTAATTTGCAGAGTGATTAGCTGTGATTAGGAATGCAATGATCCCACACACTGGATTAGTATTGGCCATGATGTAACCAATCCACTTTTCTTTGTCAATGTAGTTTTACGATTCTCTGTCTCCAATATAAGTTACATTCACTGAGTCATGTCGGGCTGCCAACTAATCTTTTAGTGCCACAGCAATTCCTGGCCTCTAAACTACTGGTATGGTCCTTTTAATATAACGCTGATGTCTGACTAAACACTAAATGTATCCAAATCTGTCTATCTTAAACCAACTAAACAAATGGCCAGCCTTTCCTCTCTACTTTACTTTCATCTCATTTCCCTCCCAACCATACCTAAAAAGGACCAACCCGTAAACTAATCTCCCTTCCTCCATAATAAAGCCTTTTTGCCACCTGCCTCCATCACAGTAATTATTTTGCTGTGTATTTATTACCGTACATATGGATGTGCATGTGTGTGGTTGGATATTAGTGCATGCTGTGTCCCTATATGAGCAAAGATGTGTGAGGGGAGGTGTGTGTGTGTGTG